CAAAAATAAAAAAAAACATTAAGTGAACTTAATAACTTGGTGTTGGGACAACATGAAGGATTTCTGTTGAAGGCAGGCTTTTTAACAGTGATCTCACATTAGTTCTTAGAACCCTTTTTCCACAGATTGGTCTGTGAATAAACGACTTTTGTTGCTTGTTAAAACTTTGCATGTTGATTTACAGATCAATCTGTGGTAAATGACCTGCATGTCTTTTATGTCTTCTTGAGTTTTGATTTCGATTTAACACTTTGTTTGGGTCTTGTTGATTTTTTTTTTTCCTGATTGGCTTCTGAACAAACCACTGTTGTTTAATGACTTTAAAAAGGAAAGGTTATTAAAGGTCCACTAAGAATCTTTGACATCAATGGAACATTTGCATTCCACAAAAAAGGAAAAGGGTTCCCACTGAACTAATGTGACAGCACTACACTGTCATTTTACTGAGCATTTTTTGTTAAAACTAGTCAATTTCAATGAGCATTTTATGCTCAATCCACTGAAATCTGTAAAAAATAAAAATAAAATAAAAACATTAAGTGAACTTAATAACTTGGTGTTGGGACATCATGAAGGATTTCTGTTAAATGCAGGCTTTTTAACAGTGATCTCACATTAGTTCTTAGAACCCTTTTTCCACAGATTGGTCTGTGAATAAACGACTTTGGTTTCTTGTTCAAACTAGTTACTTTAAACTTGTTGAACGACGACTCTTGTGACAATTTCATTGTTTAATGTTCGAATTTGTGAAAACAAGTAGGCTTATCAATTTGTGCTGGTTTTTTTTACAGTGTAGTGCTGTCACATTAGTTCTTCGAGAACCTTTTTCACCCTCTTTGTGGAATGGAAATGTTCCATTGATGTCAATGGTTCTTTATGGACCCTCCGATGCCAATAAAGACGCTTTCTTTCAGTCTGCAATCACCAATACCCTTTGGCCGGGACACATCCATTTAAACGAAGCCCTGTGTGATTAGTTTGCCCAAGCGGCCGTAACAGCGTCCTAATCAGTGCAGTGTTTGGATAAAGCGCTCTTCTGCAGGGGTAAACAGAGCTGTATTTGATGCTCTTTATGAGGGCTGTTTGGCAGGGTTTATTCCTCTGTTAGACTGGCTCCATGCTCTCGGAGGGAGGCCGGCCCTCCTGCGGGGCTGCAAATGGGCGGGTGGCAGTGCAAAGAGATGCTCTCCAGCTGCTGCCTGGGCTTTATCTGCCTATAGGACGTTACAGTAGACGTTAACAGGTCCTCAATGACCATCATCATGCATCTCCACCCCACAATAAAAAAGCTGGTGATAAAGAGCTATTTTCACCGCTTATCAGATAAGCGGCGGTTTTTACAGACTGCAAACTAACGCGCTCATTAGCGTGACCCGTCAGCTCTGTTAACACCCGTGATGATGATGTGAGAAAGTTTTGCCCCATGTTATGTGTGTTTGTCCAGCGTGCCGTAACCTTTAACCCAGATAGCGCCTCCAGAAATGGTTTAACGAGATGAAACGAGCAAATTAACACATGCAGGTTCTCCGGCCGATGAATGTCACGAATTGTTTGAATTAATTGATGCGTAAAATGTGGCTAATCTGCTTTTGGAGAGGCCGTCTGCTGAAACGCACAACGCATAATCTCCGCTAACACGTCGTAATAACTTTCATTAAGGAGTCATTAGGATTTATCAAACAATGCTAGCTGGCTGATCAGGAGTTTGAATGAATATATACACTACAAAAAAAGAGAAATAAGATTAAAGAGTGTGTTTTACAAGAAAACCCTTTCAAAAAATGCTTGTTGTTTCACTGATTGTGAAATCTACTAGCAACTGTTTGCACTTAAATATTTGAAGAGGATTTTTTAAAAATAAATACACGCATTAAATACAACATTTTTTCCAGCAACTGCATTTTATTGAACTTTTAATTATTAGAATGTGCTAATTAAAACAACATTTATTCACAATGTACAAAATAAAGTCGCTTCCATTTTAAATAATCAGAATAAATATTGCTTTAATTAATGCAAAAATAAAATCTAATCATTTAAACTAGTGAATAGTAACAGTTTTTAATCGAACAATGCTTGGTGACTGATCAGATGTTTGAATCACAATGTACACTAGAAAGAAAAAGTGATTCAGAGAAAACAAAACCAAAGGTTGTGTTTGACAAGAAAACCCTCTTCAATACAATTGTATGTTTATGTAATTGTCATTTCATCGTAACTGGTTGTGAAACTTACTAACAATTGTTTTCAATCCATTTTTTTCTTCTTACAATATTTATTTTAAAATAACACATGAATAAACGCATGCATTAAATACAAAACTTTTCCCTCAAGTGCTCTTTATTTAACTATTATGATCAGAATGCATTAATTTAAACAATATTTATTTTGATTGTGATAAATAAAATCTATTTACAATGCTTGGTGACTGATCAGATGTTTGAATGACATTATACACTAGACATCAGAGTTTCAAAATGAAAGAGTGTGTTTTACAAGAAAACCCTACATGTGTGTGTGTGTGTATATATATATATATATATATATATACACACACACACACATACACACACACACACACACACACACACACACACACACACACACACACACACACACACACACACACACACACACACACACACAGAGAGAGATACATAGCGAAAAATTGTGTGTTAAATGAATTGCCATTTCATTGTAACTGATTTTGAAATATACTAGCAATTGTTTGCACTCTTGTTTTTTCTTCTTAAAATATTTATTTTAAATAACAAATATATAAAATACAACATTGTTTTCCATCAATTGCATTTCGTTGAACTATTAATATCAGAATCAGTTCCGTATTAGTCAGAAACAATATTCATTTATTCATTTTCCTTTGGCTTAGTCCCTGATTTTTCAGGGGTCAACACAGCGGAATGAACCACCAACTTATCAAGAATACGTTTTACACATGTATGTCCTTCCAGCTGCAACCGAGTACTGGGAAACACCCATACACACTCATTCACACACATACACTACACACAATTTAGTTCATCAATTCACCTATAGCGCATGTGTTTGGACTGAGGGGGAAACCAAAGCACCCGGAGGAAGCCAACGGCAACACGGGGAGAACATGCAAACTCCACACAGAAATGCCAACTGAGCCAGCCGGGATTTGAACCAGTGATCTTCTTGCTGTGAGGCAACATAGCTAACCACTGAGCCACCGTGTTGCCTACATTCAATTATCAGAATATTGTTTTAATTAACACGTTCTAAAAATAAAATAAAGTGAAATAGTTAATAGCAAAAATAAAAAACAATATTCATTCTGATTACTCTGAACAGGGCCCTATCAGCAGGTCAGTTGCTGGAGGTCCCCAGATCCAGGTATAAACAATGGGGCGATCGTTCTTTTGCAGTGGCAGGTCAAAAACTGTGTCACTGTTTAAGGTTAAACTTAAAAGCTATTTATTTAGACTTCCTTTTGATATTCGTTAGTACAAAATGCTGTTTTATTGTTTTATTGACACATTATTCTGCATGTAATAAATACTGTATATCTATTACATTAGAATAATTAGATTAAATATTGTTTTAATGCATTCTAAAACTTAAATAAAATCATTTCAAATAGCTAATAGCAAGACAACAATATCTATTCTGATTATTCTGAATTTAATACATATATTGCATTTGGAATAACCAGAATAAATATTGTTTTAATTAATGAAATCCAAAAAGATATAATAATTTGAAATGGTTAATTGTAAAAAAAAAAAAAAAAAAAAAACGATTTATTCAGATTATTCTGAATTCAATACATGCTATATATTTATTACATTCAGAATAATCAGAATAAATTGTTTTAATTAATGTGTTCTAAAAATAAAAGAAAATCATTTGAAATAGTTAGTAATAGTTCAATTAACTGCGATTATTATTTCAAATTATTTGATTTTATTTTTTAAAAACATTAAAACATTACATAATAGCATTATTATCTTATTAAAATATTTTATTTTATTATTATTTCTAATTATTTGATTTTATTTTTTAACATTATTACATTACATAATATCATTATTATCCTATTAAAATATTTTATTTAATTATTATTTCAAATTATTTCATTAAATTTTTTAAATACATTATTACATTAAATAATTACATTATTATCTTATTAAAATATTTTATTTTATTATTATTTTAAATTATTTCATTTTATTTTTTATACATTATTACATTACATTATTACATTACTATCTTATTTAAGTATTTTATTTTATTTCATTTATTTTTTAAATACACTATTACATATTGTCTTATTAAAATATTTTATTTAATTATTTTTTCAAATTATTTCATTAAATTTTTTAAATACATTATTACATTAAATAATTACATTATTATTTTATTAAAATATTTTATTTTATTATTATTTTAAATTATTTCGTTTTATTTTTTATACATTATTACATTACATTATTACATTATTATCTTATTAAAATATTTTATTTTATTATTATTTCATTTATTTTTTAAATACATTATTACATTACATAATTATTATCTTATTAAAATATTTTATTTTATTTCAAGTAAATGCATCAATGTTAACCAGTATATATAAGAGATAAGACAACTGCAATAAGACAATTGCATAAAAAGTATTGTGGTCGGACTGATTATAAAATCCATTAATTTTATTAGTACTATAACATGCAAAAAATACGCTTACATTAACCAAACTGAATCTATCTTCAATTCACACACATAAACCTCACATTTAGGCCTAAATATAGTTTGATTACTGTGATCTGCATTATTATGTGATGTAATAAAAAGGCTCCACACGGGCCACTGTGAGCATCAGCATTGGTTGCCTTGGTTACGGGGGCCCTTAAGCCAGGTGAGAGCATGTCATGGTAAATTAGGAGACCCTCTTTGAAGTTTCTTTCATGAGAAGAAACAAAGGCAGAGGAAACAAAAAAAGCTCAAACCATTCGTTGTGTTTGATATTTTATTATCTGAATATAAAGAATAAATAACAGTTCATCTTAATTTACAGGATAAATCGTCTCCGGCCGTCACAGCATGTGAGACTTTAAAAAAAAATTAAAAATCCACAATAAATTTTGAGGTCGTCGAATCTGTGTGGGAAAAAAAACCTTATAGACATCTCAGACAGCTCCATTCTCTGCAATATAAATACAACCCAATATTTTCCACAATTACAGTAGACTCTGGATATTACTACACATAATACTGGCTAGATCATTACATGATGGCACGACATATACAGACAATACATTCCTACACATGATAGTGCATACACAAACGAAAGGGAACACTTGCATGACAGATATTAATATAAAACACAACGCTGAGTCATCAGTTATCAAATCTGAATGTGTGAGCTATTGATCTGCACAGCATTGTGTTTAGATGAACATTGCCTTATTATTTACTCTCCCTCATGTGGTCTTATGTTGAACACCAAAAGAAGATATTTTGAAGAATGCTGCTGGCACTTCGATAAAAAAAAAATAGTATGGAAGTCAATAGGAGCCGATCACCAGCATTCTTCGAATTATCTTCTTTTGGGTTTAACAGATAAAACTCCAACGGGTTTTTAGCAAGTAAACAATGACAGAATTTAAATATGTCTGAAAATAATGTTTAAATGATCTAAAATTAATATAAAGTGTTTCCAAAACACAAAATAAAAGCTTTTCTTAACAAATCCAGAGATTTGTATAAATAATGTTCTCTTTTTTTATAAAGTTCTTCCAGAAATGTGAATTTTAAATATGAGATATATTTTGTACAGTCGTGTCTCCATAATTTAAGTCCAGCAACATGCATTAATGTGCTTCACATCAGAGTCCAGAACCATATCAGGAGCTCTATTATGGGTTTTCTGAATGAGCGGCCAGTTCACCCATTTACTTCCATTGTAAAAAATAAATACTATGGAAGTGAATGGGTGCCAGCTATCAACATTTCTCAAATTATCTTCTTTTGTGCTCAACAGAAGAAACTCAAACCTGTTTAAAACAACAAAATTAAAATCTTTAATCTCTTTAAATGACTTAAAGTTAATATAAAGTGTTTCCAAAACACAAAATAAAAGTGTTCATAACTTAAATCCAGAGATTTGTTTTATAAAAGATGTTCATGTCTGAATTCTCTTCTTTAGAAAGTTCTTCCAGCAATGTGGATTTTACAAATATGAGATACATTTTGTACAGTCATGTCTCCATAATTTAAGTCCAGCGATATGCATTAATACGCTTCACATCAGAGTCCAGAAACGCATCAGGAGTTCAATATTATAATGTTTTTTATTTCTGCTGGTCAGTTCGCGCATGAGCATTTGCACTCTGTGATGATGGGATACTGCACCGGTATCCACGCGCACTTGAGTGCGCCTCTCCTCGCCACGCATCTCCAGCGCAGCAGCGTGATGTGTGTTGATTTGGCCGGTTTGCACACCATGCCCTCCGGCACCGAGCATGAGCGCTTGGTGTAGCAGCTCCCCGCGCGCACGAACCGCGGCCAAAAGCGCGAGCCCAGGTCATTCCAGGCGTACAGCACCGGGCAGAACGAGTAGGACCACAGCCACATCTGCAGCCGCCGCTTCAGCTTCTTGCTGGCTTTGCGCTTTTTGCCCCACGGCGCGTCAAAGTCCAGGTTCTTGATGTCTTTGGGCATCATCCCGGCGAGGTTCAGCTGGAGCTCCTGCTCGTCCAGGTCCTCGTTCCCCGCGTAGCGGTCCTGAGGAGGACCGACCGACAGAAAGCGGCTGTCAAAGTCCCCGAGCGCGCTCCTCAGCTCGGTCTCGTTTAGATCCTTCTCCCGCGGATCGTAGAGCGGGTCCGGGTCCTCCTTCAGCTCCAGCAGGGGTAAAGTGTCACTCGGGATGGGTCTGAGCAGGTAATAGTGCTGGCACTGTGCGAAGGAGAGCAGCAGCAAGTACGCGGACAGCAAACACCGCGGGAAATCCATCCTTTTGAAATCTTCATCCAAAAGCGAGATCGGAGATTAAACGCGGGATTTATCCGTGCGTAATTCCGTGCATATCTGATGTCGAGGTGTGGTAAATGCGTGGGAATCGTGAGAAAGCATCACGATTGAAGGAGCCCCGCGTCTGAGTGTTTTTTGGGAATGCCTGACTCTCACGCGCGCGCCTCTGATTTATACACGCGCGCCCCTGTGATGCAATACACTTCTCTCGCTTTTTCTTTTTTCTCAATGTGAGTTTGTTTGCAGGAGATTCCCCGACACTTCCTTTCAGACTCAGATGAGCAGGAGGAGGAGGCGTGGCTGCAGGCGCTCGGCGTTTGACGCCCCCTGTCGGACAGTTTTCTAACTGATGTCCAGAGGCGATGTTTTTTTGTGGTGTCTTTAAATTTTCACAACTTAAATCCAGAGATGTGTGTTTAATAAAAGTTTATGAAAAAAAGTGTCAGAAATCACTTTTTTATTAAAATCTTGAGAAATGTGAGTTTAAAAAAAAAATTGACACCAACTTTAGGTTTGTATAGCACCTTCCCAAATAGGGTTACATTACCCAATGCACTGGGTTAAATCATTTATCCCAATGCATTGGGTCATTTTGATTAAATGTTATTTTCTCCATTCTGGGATTACTATTACTATTCCTACTATGAATTCCTAATTATGGCATTAAATAAATGAATGTCTCCGCTGGGTCCTAAAGGTTAGAATCCGGGAGCGCAGAGATGAACACGGGAGGTGGAGAAAGGGATTTAGTATTGATCGGCTTTAAAGCTCTCAGTATCAATAATTAAAAACACGACATGGAGAGGTCATTTAATAAAAGATATAACAATATCATTGTATTAAAGCCTTAATAAACTTTAGAAAGCAAAAACAACATTATAAATGCATATTATTACAGCTGTTCTGTGTCAGTCAAATCAGTTGACTGTTGAAACCCAAAACTGTAACCCAACTGGTTGAGTTGTTATATAAATAACCTAATAAAGGTTAAAAATAACCCAACAAAGCACCAACCAATTTGTTTAACTCAACAATTGGGTTAAACAAATAACTCAAGGTTTTTTAGAGTGTACAGTCATGTCTCCGTAAGTCCAGTGATATGCATTAATAAGCAATGGGTGCCAATGGGAGTCAATGGGTGCCAGCTACATTGTAAAAGACGCAGGGTTTATGCTGGAAACACATTTTTGGGTTAATTGTGCAGGGTCAAAACTGCTAAGTTGTCTCGGGTATAGGGCTGTGCAATTAATCGGAAAACCGATTTCGATTTAAATTTTGGCTTCTAACAATTATGAAAAACCATTAATCGGTATAAGCGATTATTGCATCATATACTGGCCCCTTCTGTTGCTCTTAAAAGCGCAAAAGACCGCATGATTCTGAGTGTGTGTGCGGCACACACACACAGTCAGAAGCATGTGGTTAGCATTCCGTCTTATTCGCACACTGAGCTGTGCCGAGCGCACACACCTTAAGTCATCTTAATGTGAGCGTTTAATGGTCAAATAGGTGTCAAAACGTGGAGTTTAGTAATTATTCATATTAACCCTCATTTGAGTAATAAACAAAGAGTTGAAAATCAAAAGACACGTGAAAGAGAAACCATTAAAGTGACCGTGCGCAATATCCCTGATGCCACCTGTTTTTATGATTATTAATCAAACAAAAGGAGAAGCTAAACTGTTTGGCTTAAAAGTGTTTTTCTTACAGTGAAGATGCTTAAAGCTCAGTTTATTTCATATTTTTATACTATTGTATTTATTTCGCATTCCTTTGCAGGGTGGAAAAGAAATATATATATAAATATATATATATAGTTGCAGATGCAGACAATCAAAAAATATATAAGGGGGCTAATATTATTGACCTTAAAATGGGTTTCAAAATATTTAAACCTGCTTTTATTCTAGCCAAAATAAAACAAATAAGCCTTTCTCCAGAAGAAAAAAAATATTAAAGGAAATACTGTTAAAATTAAAAAAAAAAAAAAATCTCAGGAGCGTTAATATTTTGACTTAAAAATAATAATCGTTTTGAATAATCGTGATTACAATTATGACCAAAATTATCGTGATTATGATTTTTCCCAAAATCGAGCAGCCCTACTCGGGTACTGGTTGCCCAAGCTTAGTCAACCCAACTGAAAGGACAGTAAAGGCTTCTCTCACCTTTGAACATCTGGGTTTGGTTATTTTGACCCAACTTCTTTATTAATTGTTCATTTTTCTATCTGGATTCATCACAATTTCAGATGGAGCTTGCGGCAAGCATTACAAGGTAAATAAAATGACATATACAGTGGTCTCTCACTATAAGGTTCACCTTTTGGGCCACACAGTTTAGCAGATTTTATTTACTGCAGTTTGACTTGGTTTTGTTTTTTGTTTTGCTTTGTTTTTTACAGTGCATTGAGTTCTGCGTCCTGATTGGCTGTAGACCACTGTCAATCAATCTATTCCATGTCTCCTAATCAGTACACAATGCATTCAGCTTGCTAAATTAACATAAATCTTTATTCGCTAGCAATGTAACTTTCAACAAGGATGCAAAAAGGGTTGTAACGCCCCATTCACATGGGGCGTCAGCGTCAACGCTTCCTATTCACATTGAATGGGTGATGTCAGGTGTTGCCGAACTGCATTGTGGATCCGTCGGCACCGCTTCAGAGACGTTGCTCGCTGCAGAAGTTGGGACTAGCTTAACTTATCAAGCGCCGATGGAAGTGTCAACCAATCAGATCGCTGTATGCAAATACACCAGCTAGACAGTGGCCTATTGCTGACTGAATTTCATTGGCTGACGCTGTTATGACGATCGCTTCAGCCCCAACTTCAGACACACCTTCAGTCAAGCGTTGACGCTGAAGCCCCATGTAAATGGTGCGTATCTGTCCTCAGCAAGACCATTGTAAAGGAGACTATCGTTATTTGCATTTTCCAAACCGTCACAACGTTTTCTGGTATAGGGGTGTGTTAATATGTTCTACAATGCTGCACTGAACTCAACAACAAGTTCAATGTATCCAGTTTAATTTGCAACCGTGTTTCCTTCAATCAATCTGTCCATCATTCCTCCCATCCTCATGATATGAGTTCAGACATCTGAACATCTCTGAATAAACCCAGTATACAGTAGATGAGCCCACATTATCTCTGTCTGCTTGGCACTTGGAGAAGCACAAACACACAAGTGTGCTGCTGAGGCTGTGGGGAATAAAGCCATAAAACACTCCGTCTAGAGTCATCCAAAATGAACATCTCCCACCAAGCCGGCGCGGCGGAATGCAGCTCGAGACTGACAAACACAGAGGAGCTGCATGGAAGAAGTGAGCTGTGCATAAAGCAGACGCGCAGAGAAATACATCTCTGTTTCTGTGTGAATGAGCTAATTCACACTTCTGCTGGAGAGACGGAGAGAGCGAGAGAGAGACACAGAGAGAGAGAGAGAGAGAGAGAGCTGAATCAGACAGCAGAAGCAGACACTATTGTCAGCACTCACAAAACACTGAACACACCTGTGCACTGCACCCTGCTTCATTAGAAAACACTTAATAATAACTATTCAGACTCACAAGACCTGTAATTAATTTATTACAATCAACAACTCAATCAATAATTCATAACAATAATAAAAATGAACAATTAATCCATCCGTCTATCCATCCATCTGTCTGTCCACCTATATCCATCCTTCTGTCTATCGATATTTCTATCCGTCTGTTCATTTATCCATCCATCCATTCATTCATCCATCCATGCAACTGTCTGTCAATCCAGCTATCCTTCTGTCTATTGATATCCAACCGTCCTTCTGTCCATCTATATATTTCCATGGGTCTGTTCATCCATCTATCCATCTATCTGTCTGTCTGTCTGTCTGTCTGTCTGTCCGTCCGTCCGTCCGTCCGTCCGTCCGTCCGTCCGTCCGTCCGTCCGTCCGTCCGTCCGTCTGTCTGTCAATCCTGCTAACTATCTGTTTGTCCATTCATCCTTCTCTTCATCTTTTCTATTTATCCATCCATCCATCTAGCTGGTTTATCCATCCATCAATAAATTCAACTGTCTGCCCATCCATCCATCCATCCATCCATCCATCCATCTATATACATCCAGTCGTCTGTCAATCTATATATCCATCCCATGTATCTTTTCAATCCATCCATCCATCCATCCATCATCAATATTAATTTATCCATATTTTCTATCTATCCATCCATCTCCTTCCATCTATCCATAATTTCTATCAATCCATCCATATTTTCTATTCATTCATCCTTCCATCTGTTCATCTATTTATCCATCCATCCATTTCTCTATATATCTATCTAAGCCATCAATCCATATATCCATATTTCTATTTATCTATCTATATTCCAACTTTCCATTTTTCCATCCATCCATCTATCTATCTGTTTATTTATCTATCCATCCATCTGTCCATCTAAATATCCATCCATCCATCCATCCATCCATCCATCAATCCATATTTTCTATCCATCCATTTATCCATCAATCCACCTTTCTATCCATCTGTTCATCTATTTATCATCCATCCATTTCTCTATATGTCAACCTTTTCAAGCCATCAATCAATCCATCCATATTTCTATTTATCGATCGATATTCCAACTTTCCATTTTTCCATCCATCCATCTATCCATCCATTCGTTTATATACCTATTAATCCATCTGTCCATCTATATATCCATCCATACATCTTTCCTACTCCATCCATCCATCCATCTTTCTATCCGTCTGTTACTCTATTTATCCATCCATCCATCCATTTCTCTATCTATCATCTATCCATCTTTTCGAGCCATAAATCCATCCATTCATATTTCTATTTATCTATCTATATTTCATCCATCCATCCATCCATCTATCCAATTATCTATCCATCAGGTCAAAATATACATCCATCTGGTCAATCCATCCATTCATCTATCCAGTATATCTATCTATCCATCCATCAATTTGTATGATCTATCCATCCATCTGTCTGGTCTATCCATCCATCCCTCCATTCCACACAGGACTCACTCACCTGCTCGAAAAACCCAAAAAGAGTTTGTGGAGTGTGGAAAGATCAGCATTTGTCTTTGGTTAACCTCACTGTCTGTC